ACAAGGTCTCATCCTTATGGAGAAGTATCTCTGGCCGCATCCTAGCAGAATTAGCTTGGCTGAACATTCAGAAGGGTCCCGCTACCATGTGGCTTGTCACAGCTGCAGCTCTCTCGAGCTGAGGAATCTGGGAAGTACCTGTCCTCTTTAGCCAATGCCCTTACTCATCCTTGCAGCTTCCCTCCCATTGGTGGGAGTGGGAGGGTGCTGGTTTGCTCTCTACAGAACAGGGCCAGAGATCTTCCCACTGGAAGCCAAGTCTGAAGTTTTCCTCAGTAGTTACAAGAGGGCTTTTTTGCATGAGTCAGATTTGGGGACAAGTCAGAGAAGTGAAAACATCTCTCTGCTTTTTGGCCACACTGCATTGAGTGAGATGGAAACTCAACGCAGATCAGCATTTTTGGGCGTGGGGTGCACCCCGGAGATGGACCAGCCAGCCTGGCATAGATTGAGACAGATAGGCCTCTAACGCCACAGAGCAGAGGTGCTGGCAGATGCAATTGGTTTCTTCTTCCAGGATGGAGGCTCCTTGGGATCACCGAGACAGAAGACAGCAGGATCCTGTGGGAAAGTCCAGCATCTCTCCCAGACAGCCCAGAGTTACCTCCAGACAGCCTAGAACAGCACGCACCTGGATCTGCCTCTGTTTCCCAGCCAGCACAATACATGACAGAGTTCAGAGATGGCTCATCTACCCAGAGGGATCTGCCGCATACAATACACCCTGTATCTGCCAAGTGTTGGCGGGAGAATCTGGAGATGCTCGCAGTGTTAGGAAGAATGTGTGTATTTATTCAGGAGGAACTATTCCTGTACATACTTGCAGACACGCTGATGTGCAAACAAAATGTTTAGTCTTCTGATGAAAGAGAAGGGAGCCTGTGTGGCAGCCTGCCGGAAAGGGGAAGAAATTGGAAAGGAAACACAATTTCAGAGCAAGAGAGGAGCAAATATTAGAGCTTGTTGAATTATTCCTTGCAAATAATATTGGCTGCGTATCAAGACGCTTTCTTCAACTAGTGAATCATTTGTGAGCCAAGCCTGGGTTCTGTTGGGAAGCGTTTTCTTCCTATTGACTTCTCACAAACATACCCTTTGTCTGTTGGGGTGAAACTCACCTCTGTGGTCAGATACTCCTGTAAGCTATGCTTGGGCAGCCACTCAGGAGTGATTCAAATGCTTCCCAGCTGACTAGCAGAGCGCCCAGAGCTAGGTTTTGTGTTTCTTCTGGTGGTGCACATTCACATGTGTCTCGGTGCACATAAAATTATTCCACATGTGGATGGAAAAAATCTGCACATTGGTGGAAAAGATTAGAGGGAACATTACCTGTGGCGATCGGTCAGGTAAGCCACATGGTATCATCTCAGATCCTTTTTCGGTTGACTGAAACTTTTTAAGTGAGAGAGGAAGGCTGGTCCACTGGTTAGAGCATTGGCATAGGACTTGGGAGAGTTGGATGCAGGTCCCGGCTGTCCTATAGACTTTTGATATGACCTTGGGCAAGCCCCTTTGCCTCTTTGTTCCTCAGTTTCCCATCTGTACAATGTAAGAAGTCCTGCCCTGCAGAGAATAAATATATTAATGACTGTGAGATGGTCAGATACTCTGGTGATGGGGGCCAGCAAAGTGCCATAGATCAGATAACAGGAAATGCTCTCCCCACCAATCACAAGCAGACGAGCAGCAGAAGCAGCCTCCCGTGTCCCGGACAGCTTACCTGTAGCGGATTTGCTGGAGAAACTGACCCGTTACAGGTACTGACCCAGGAGCTCTGTAACGTGTTAAGCCAACCTACGCCTGGCAAGGAAGCTCTCTCGTGTGACCTGCTTAGGGATAGCGGCCTTTGTATCCTCCCCTCAGTTCCCAGAGGCAGTTCCCAGTGAGCCCTGGGGGATCCCAACCTGCACAGTTCAAGAGAGACCTGGAAATGTGACAGGATGCTCGGGGGCGTGGGGCCAACAATGGTCCAGGCAGCAGGGACAGCTCTGTGTGCTGCAGGAAGGGGGGGAGGCTGCCAGGGTTGGGGCATTTTAGGTTATTTTAATTCCTTTCCTTTCCAAGGCATTGAGGCAGGCTTGGCGGCCACATCACTGCCACAGAGACACCCAGCCTGATATCCTAAACCAGGACAGGGACATGGCGAGGAAGGCCCAGGGGAGAGTTACAGGGTAATTACCATGTAGGGGTGGAGAATTCGAGGGTAATTAGCAGGTGGGGACCCAGAAGGTGGGAGTTTGCGGTTAATTAGGCGGCAAATACCATCACTTTGCTGTAAATTCATGGTTCTTTCCAGCAATCCAGGTTCGATGTAATCACTTTGAGGACAATTAAGTGTAATTACCGAGCTGGGAGAATTACAGGGTAATTACCATGTAGGGGTGGAGAATTCGAGGGTAATTAGCAGGTGGGGACCCAGAAGGTGGGAGTTTGCGGTTAATTAGGCGGCAAATACCATCACTTTGCTGTAAATTCATGGTTCTTTCCAGCAATCCAGGTTCGATGTAATCACTTTGAGGACAATTAAGTGTAATTACCGAGCAATCTGCAGGAGTCAGTAATTGCCCTAAAATCCCAAGGGATTCATCTCCTAAAACCCACGGAGGTACCTGCCAGGAGAAAGGAGTCACATGACACTCACACTTTGTAATGCCAAGTGCTATCTACAAAGAGGTGTCCTGGGGCCCTGCCTGTGGTGGGGGTCAGGAGAACTGGATTGTACCATCTCAAGGTGGAGCTGCTTCTGCAAGGAACGTCTCCGTTGCCAGAATTGAAGCTCTAGGATGGATACCCCTCGTGAGGGAGAATGTAATCTGTCTCTGGCACCTGTGCTAGCCGCCCCCACTCTCTTACCCTAGTGTTTAGGGCAAACCCACCTTCAGCCTGTATATGTCATGCTACTGAGTCTAAGGGTATGTCTACGCTACAGAGTTTTGTCGGAAAAACGACCATTTTTCCGACAAAACTTCAGTTCTGTCCACACTGCAATTGCATTCTTCCGCAAGAAAATTGAAAGAACAGGGGGGGTTTCTGGCATTGCTAAACCTCATTCTATGAGGAAGAACCCTTTTTCTGAAAGAGCTCTTTCATGTGTGGATGGGGAAGCGGGAGTTCTTTCGGAAGAAGAGGAAAGAGGAAAAAGCCCAGGTACCCGGGCTGCCATTCCATCCATTGCAATCACAGCTTAGTTGGGATTGGTCCTGCCTAGGGCAGGGGGCTGGAGTTGATGACCTCCTGAGGTCTCTCCCAGCTCTATGATTCGATGATTCTACGTGTGAGAGAGCATCCATTCAGTCTTTCGAAGATCACTTTTTCAATGCACTTTGGCAGTGTGGACACGCTCTTTCGGAAGCTGTTTTTTTGGAAGATCTCTTCCGAAAAAAGCTTCTTCCGAAAGAAGCCTGCAATCTAGACATAGCCAAAGATCATTGAAGTCCAGCAGAGATATTCCACTGATCTCACTGATGTGGGATCAGTGGTTAAGCTGCTGTGATCACACCTTACTCCTTCCCCACCGTGTGCGCAACACCCAATCAGACCTCCATTAGCATCTCACCTTCCGGCCACCATTTCACCTGCATCGCCTCTTCCCCCGTCACTGCTCAAACAGCCACTCAGACGCACAGGGTGAATTGCACATGATGAGGGGTCAGGAGAGCAGCAGCTAACAGGAGGAAGCGGAAAGTTGCGAGCTAAATGAAACCAACCCCCGGCTGTAAGGTACAACTATTGCTTCTGCAATAGATACACTAGCAAGTTACGCTACTGTCCATACTGCTGTGTACACTACCATAATCTCCCTAACGCGGTTAGTTACTGTGACGGCACGTTGGGGGTCCCCCGTCTCCTGCACCCCGAAATGGCCCAAACAGACTGCACCAGCCGGTGGAATAGAGGAAGTTTATTGCCTCTCCCGGATACAGCACAGCACAGATGGAATCTGGTCCCAGAGCTGGGCTAGGATGCCTCAGGCCCCCTTGAGATGGGGGAGACTGGGCCCCTCAACTCCAGCCCCTTTCACTAGGCTGTCTCCTCCATGCTCCCAGCCAGCAACTAACCAACACTCTTCCAGCCCTGCCACCCCACCCAGGGCAGCATCCACCTTCCTTTGTTCCTCTCCATGGGGGGTGTCTGGCCATACCGGTTGAGAGGTCCCTTTGCATAGTGACTCATCCTGTTTTGCTGGGTCGTGGTACCCACGGCAGCCAGGGGGGGTTACCCCAGAGCCAGCAGCATAGGAACCAGCCAGGTACCCCCACTACGTCACAGTTACACTCCCCACTCTTGTGCTCCCCAGTGTCACTAGCTCCCCAGGGGCTAACCCTGCACCTCTGCGCCTCGCCTTCGCATTCAGCGCCGGATCGCCAGTCCCCGGCCCAAAAGCATGAACCTCGGGAGTTAACGTCAGGGCTCCTGGAGCGCCTGTTCCATCCCTCCAGCCGGAGGCAAGCCCCTGCTCCTCACGGCACACCACATTTGGGAGTTGGGGGTCAGACGGGTGGCCCTTCCCCGAGGATCGGCAGCTGCTGCTTGTATCTCGTTTGTGTACACGCGCCCAGATGTGACCCTGCAGGGCATGCGGCAAATGTTTAACTACAATAGCATGGGGGAGCGACACTCCAGAAGGTGGGCGAGGGGTTAGGCCCACTGGAGATAGTGAATCAGCCAGACATGGGCCAACCCTGAGGAACGTTGGGGGGCAGGGGATGAGGGGTCCAGACAGTCACATCCTCAAGGCAGCCAGGGCCTGCTCTGGCCCGGGCCTGACAATGCCCCCAGCTGGAAATATTCCTGCGGCAGGGAAGGCAGCTC